TTTTGGGACGGTATTATATGAAGGCTTTATATTCAACAACATCTCTATTTACGCACTGTATGTACAGTTGTAGGCGGGTGTGTACACTTGCCCTGAATCAGTGGGGGAAAGGCTGGGATATCATCAGTGGCGGGTGTGTACACTTGCCCTGAATCAGTGGGGGAAAGGCTGGGATATCATCAGTGGCGGGTGTGTACACTTGCCCTGAATCAGTGGGGGAAAGGCTGGGATATCATCAGTGGCGGGCGTGTACACTTGCCCTGAATCAGTGGGGGAAAGGCTGGGATATCATCAGTGGCGGGCGTGTACACTTGCCCTGAATCAGTGGGGGAAAGGCTGGGATATCATCAGTGGCGGGTGTGTACACTTGCCCTGAATCAGTGGGGGAAAGGCTGGGATATCATCAGTCTCCGCTTCATATGTTTCATGCGTGTGTCCAAACTGGTTTTGTTCTGAAAACAGGGGTGTATGTTTAACATATGATTATGGGATTCACGTTACAAATCTCCCCCATGTACAGCGGCAGTAGTCTTTCACTGTACCTACAACTTCAAAGGAAAATACAAACTATGTATGGTAATAAGTTAAAGTATATAAACAGTGATGAATATAAACAGTGATGTATATAAACACGGAACGGTAGTGGGGCTCACGTCAGGCGTTGAGGTTTGCCAGGTTTGTTCAATCATAAATGATATATTTAGCGTTGCGTCCCTTAGCTGAGATAGGATCCGCTGATAGTGTGTTCGAATCACAGATCCCGAATATTATGCTTGGTTTCTAAGCGGCGAACACATTCTAATGGCGTTCACCAGCGTGGCCTGCACCACTTGGGATTTCTACCACACCAAGGCGGCACGAGGGCAAACAAGTGAAAACACAGCCCTCTGCCTCCCTTTAGTACCCGGCCAGCAGACACAGCCCTCTGCCTCCCTTTAGCACCAGCCAGCAGACACAGCCCTCTGCCTCCCTTTAGCACCAGCCAGCAGACACAGCCCTCTGCCTCCCTTTAGCACCAGCCAGCAGACACAGCCCTCTGCCTCCCTTTAGCACCAGCCAGCAGACACAGCCCTCTGCCTCCCTTTAGCACCAGCCAGCAGACACAGCCCTCTGCCTCCCTTTAGCACCAGCCAGCAGACACAGCCCTCTGCCTCCCTTTAGCACCAGCCAGCAGACACAGCCCTCTGCCTCCCTTTAGCACCAGCCAGCAGACACAGGCCTCTGCCTCCCTTTAGCACCAGCCAGCAGACACAGGCCTCTGCCTCCCTTTAGCACCAGCCAGCAGACACAGCCCTCTGCCTCCCTTTAGCACCAGCCAGCAGACACAGCCCTCTGCCTCCCTTTAGCACCAGCCAGCAGACACAGCCCTCTGCCTCCCTTTAGCACCAGCCAGCAGACACAGCCCTCTGCCTCCCTTTAGCACCAGCCAGCAGACACCGATCAAACTACATATATGCAATAATGCATTATATGCACGCCTGGTACCTTTTTCCAGTATATATTTTAATCCAATTTAAATCAAAGCTGTGACGTTAAATGAGTTTTCCCCTCAAATATATCGGCAGTTCGTGGTACTTGCTTTTGGTGAGTACTGTAGCGGGCAGCTGACAGTTGATCGTATCGACTAGCAATCTGGCCATGTGTACTTGAGAGGGGAATATCAAAGCACACGGCAGCTTAATGATGTCCCGCGTCTGATGGGAGGTAAGTATATGTGTGTGTACCATTTAGTTGTGTCGCTGACGCCGGCAACGACACGCGTAGCGGACCATGTGCTTACGTCACACATCTGCCTTGATATTTGGTGAATAATCAAGACTTGTTTTCCGATATTTCTCATTGCAGAAATCCGATGAAGCCTATCTGTATTTTGTTATTCGAACTACATTCTTTTACTTTCAATATACATCGTACGTATATTCATATACATGACGCATGCGACCGGTGAAGATCCGGGGTAGATTAGGTCTTCATCAACCCATGCTTGCCGTAAAAGGTGACTATGCTTGTCGTAAAAGGCGACTAACGGGATCGGGTAGTCAGGCTCGCTGACTTGGTTGATGCATGTCATTGATCCCAATTGCGTGCATCGATGCTCATAATATCAATCCCTGGATTGTCTGGTCCAGACTCGATTATTTACAGACCGCTGTCATATAGCTTGAATATTGCTGAGTGTTGATAATTGATCATCTATCTTCATGGCTTGATAATAGTCAGCTGTTCAGTGTTGGACGTTTGCTATCAGTTGCCCTGGTTTCTCACTATGACTTGTCAATGTGTTCATTGTTTGGTGACGCACGAGTTGCTGATGTGTATGCGATTATCCCCCTGAATGTATGTCACATCACCGGCCTGTAGGCATCAGGGGATATATCTGAACTACACATCTGACTGATATAAACATTCGGGTCTCAAGTATTCAAGAGTTCGTTACGTAATAGACGTCGCATTGTATTAGGGGTTTAATGCAGCTTTGACCAGCATTTCACCATGGGGCGTCATTGGCTGAAGCAGGCCATAGATCACTTGGTTTTCTTGTTTGTTGTTTAATGCCGCACTCAGTCTTGTAAATTATCGAGTGCCGGACACACCAGTGACCGAGAGAGAGTGCCGAGTCCTAGAGCTGACAGCCATAGAACGAGGGGTATTCTAACTTGACGGGAAAGACCACTTGGATGAAACAAGAATCGTTGTTGTGAGAGTCGTGGATTTATACCACGATTTGCCGATCTTGGTGGATGAGGAACACGACATTTTACAACGATGGTCATGGATAGCATACAAAAGTGCTGCTATGGCGTAAATATACACTCACTCACTCACCCACCAGCTCTGCATGGAGACACGTGACGTATGAGGTCTGTGTTCCCGTCAAGTAGGGGTGGGGAGAGTTAACTGCTCTTTACTCCTGAGCGATACAGCCGGAAACAGGGACCAGCAAGACTCGTGTTCATATGGTCAAGGGTGATTCGATACCACCTAACTCGAAATAATACAGAACGTGTAAAACACGATTCAGGGAAAGTGTTCATAAGGTTCATATATCAGCGGTCAGAGGCGGGAAATGTGACACTACTTCAGGACCACGTGGTCAAGTGGGGTGGGTGGGGTGGATTAGCTGAGTGTTGTGAGTGTTGACATTGCCCCAGGGTACACACTCAGACCACTTGGGTGTGGTACCAGCACCAGCACACTCACATTAATGGCGGCAAACCCAACAGATGAAACAAGTTATATTACTATCCATATATGACACTGGCGAAAGTCTCGATGATCTCAGATCTGATATCAGTGACGTGTGCCCCAGATAGCTCTACTTCTTATCTCAACTGGGAAGTAGCACTGACACGAAGCCACGAAATGCATTGTTGACACAACCTGTGTCCCACTAGTCACAGGCTGTAGGCCACCTTATACCGAATCTCCTTCACCTAGTGGTATGTGTTTGCTTATGTAATATACGTATTTAGTCTACCTACATACTAAGTATACAGTGTACCGACTTTCAGTATCCCATATTTGCCGTAAAAGACGACTAACGGGATCGGGTGGTCAGGCTCGGTTACTTGGTTGATGCATGTCATCGTATGCTAATTGCCTTGATCGATGCTCATGATGTCAGTCACTGGATTGTCTAGTCCAGACTCGATCATTTACGCAACGCTGTCACGTATTATACGATGTACCTACACACTAAGTATACATTGTACCTGCACACTAAGTACACAGTTTACCTACACACTAAGTACACACTAAGTGTACAGTGTACCTACACACTAAGTACACAGTTTACCTACATACTAAGTACACACTAAGTATACAGTGTACCTACACACTAAGTATACAGTGTACCTACACACTAAGTACACACTAAGTATACAGTGCACCTACACACTAAGTACACACTAAGTATACAGTTTACCTACACACTAAGTATAAAGTGTACCTACACACTAAGTATACACTAAGTATTCAGTGTACCTACACACTAAGTATACAGTGTACCTACACACTAAGTATACAGTGTACCTACACACTAAGTATACAGTGTACCTACACACTAAGTATACAGTGTACCTACACACTAAGTATACACAAAGTATACAGTGTACCTGCACACTAAGTACACACTAAGTATACAGTTTACCTACACACTAAGTATAAAGTGTACCTACACACTAAGTATACAGTTTACCTACACACTAAGTATAAAGTGTACCTACACACTAAGTATACACTAAGTATACAGTGTACCTACACACTAAGTATAAAGTGTACCTACACACTAAGTATACAGTGTACCTACACACTAAGTACACAGTTTACCTACACACTAAGTACACACTAAGTATACAGTTTACCTACACACTAAGTATAAAGTGTACCTACACACTAAGTATACAGTGTACCTACACACTAAGTATACAGTGTACCTACACACTAAGTACACACTAAGTATACAGTGTACCTACACACTAAGTACACTGTAAGTATACAGTGTACCTACACACTAAGTACACACTAAGTATACAGTGTACCTACACAAACCATGACAGATTCAGAGGGAGGGGTATGACAAAACATGACAGATTCAGAGGGAGGGGTATGACAATACATGACAGATTCAGCGGGAGGGGTATGACAAAACATGACAGATTCAAAGGGAGGGGTATGACAAAACATGACAGATTCAGAGGGAGGGGTATGACAAAACATGACAGATTCAGCGGGAGGGGTATGACAAAACATGACAGATTCAGAGGGAGGGGTATGACAATACATGACAGATTCAGCGGGAGGGGTATGACAATACACGACAGGTTTGGGGTAGGGGCATGACCGAACGTGAATGTTCAGACGGACGGGCATAACAACATCTTATAGGTTGTGAAATATAATTTTTTTTAAACGTTGTTAATATTCATAATGATAAACGTCCATCGGTGACTGGGCGCCATAATCGTCTGGCTTCATCCCACAGTGTTCCCTTGTTTCAGATGGTGGTGTGACGAGGTGATGAGTGAGGGCTTGGCGTCTACTCCTTCCTTGCAGTATTAAACATGACAGGTATGGCAGCAGACAAATGCATTCAGGTAAAGTTAAACCTCGCTGACTCAACTTAGTCTTACCAATGACTTACATTGCCTTTAACATATATATCGAGTTGGCCACAGCGAGGGTTCGCCTCAGTCGACAGTGAGGGAGGGACAATGCTGTGTCGGGGCAGACTACGAGGTGGGGGACACCTGGAATTGGTCACATGAAGCTGATATTATTGAGATAATTGAATGCACACCTATCGGCAGCCGGTGGGGCTACTGTGGAGGACGTATAGCCACTGTGACACAGACACTGTGAGGACTGATCACCGACGCCACAGCGCCATGACACACTACATCGCTCAGGTCGAGGCCCAGGTTCCCGCAGCTGTCGTCGTCTGTCAGACTACAATCTCCCCTCACCAGGGGGTGTTGATATACGGGAAATATGGATCGAACTATGGATTGATTAGGAGATAAACCTACTGAGATTTATAGGGATTTCAACGTAGATATGACATATAAACTAAACAAAACACTGAACGCATACCCGGTTGTAAGCCATATAGAGATCACTAATCGGTTGCAGAATCAACTGTTCTTTAATTGGTATGCTTTCAATGACCAGGTTACTTGCTGTAAATTAAATATACGAAAACGAAACATTTGTTTCCACCTGTTCGCGTTCATAGATATATGTGAGTGAATGATATTTTACGTCGCCGCCAGCAATATGCCAGTTCGATCGGTCTGTAAATCGAGTACACTGTGGGCGGATCAGACAAACCCGTGACTGAAGTCATTGGTGCCACAGCGACCTACGTGAGCGGGATGCGATGGAGTAAATGCCATTCCAGACCCTGCACACCATCTCCTCGTTTGTCTACATCGACATTGTGCACCCAGGTTGGCCAGCACTGGTTTCTGATGGGAAAAAATACGGGAACACTTAGTTTTAGACACAGTAAAATGATATGCTATCATGGGTTCCCATCCTTGTCTACCAAATACGCGTTGAAGCAATGCACACTAACACATCTCAACTTTTGATTCTGAGGTGTGTTGAATTTGTATACGCGCTATTTCAAATGTACTGACAGTGAAGCTTATTGTCCACATATTTGTGGTTCCTTTGCTCGCTTCCATCAGTATATAACACCACCTGTAACAGAAAGCCACACTGGGGACGCGATACTAAAATCTGAAGGAGATCTGGTTTATTATGTTGGACATCGAGAATGTGTTTTCCGAGTATACCAGATCTATACCGCATTGGTTGAAGGGTCGACTGTAGATGTAGACACAATGTTGCTTCATGTTGTAAATGCACCACTGCGTGATGTTAGGTATGTACATAGCAGTCGCACGCGCGTATCAGCCAGATGCTGTCATGGACGCACCACGTCTGTGGTATATGAATTATTACTAAGTCTCCTGTGTTGTGCAGTCTGTGCAGATCTTACCACAAAGGCTTCCAACGCCTCCCTGACCCTCAGCACAACGTCCACAACAGTCAACACCACAGTCACAGTCACGTGCTCGGACTCAAGTCAGCGATTGGTTGGCGAGAGTCAGCTGACCTGTCTCGCTACAGCAGAGTGGAGTGACGGTCTGCCAATATGCATTCGTAAGACAGTCTTTTTTAAAACTTTTTAATGACATTTATGAAACGTTGACATGGTTTTACTCATACACATAATGACACGTCGACACATACATGGTTTTACTCATACACATGATGACACGTGGACACGTACAAGGTTTTACTCATACACATAATGACACGTAGACACGTACATGGTTTTACTCATACACATAATGACACGTCGACACATACATGGTTTTACTCATACACATGATGACACGTGGACACGTACAAGGTTTTACTCATACACATAATGACACGTAGACACGTACATGGTTTTACTCATACACATAATGACACGTAGACACGTACATGGTTTTACTCATACACATAATGACACGTAGACACGTACATGGTTTTACTCATACACATAATAACACGTAGACACGTACATGGTTTTACTCATCCACATACTGACACGTGGACACGAACATGGCTATACTCATATCCATATTAACACGTAGACACGTACAAGGTTTTACTCATACACATAACGACACGTGGACACGTACATAGTGTTTAGGTCACATATCAGCCGAATGTGTTCAGCTTCTCTGGCGGAGCAAGGGAGATGGATGGATGACGGCGCTTAAATTGGTTGACTCCTGGCAGTCAACGAATCACGGGATGTAGAACTTGTATTCCTGGTAGGATGTTGTGCTGTCACCAGTGAACTGAGGCCGCAGACACACAGCTCACAAAGCATGTAGTAAACCGTAACCTTTGTTTTACAGGCGACTTTTCCGACAGGGAGATTATTATCCTGGCTGTGACATGCTCGGTGATATTCACACTCATTGTAGTATTAGTCCTCATCGTGCTCATCCTGGCCAGGAGGAAATCAAGGACGAAAAGGAAAAGGTAAACACGTCTGTAATGGTCATACACTTAAAAGATGTTTTCATTTTATGATGCTTCAGTTGGGTATCAAGGTAGACCATTTTCATTTTCTTAAGCCCAATAGGGTGCGCTGTACACTAGTCTATTTATAGATGCATTTAATCAAGGCATGTAAGGCATGCACAGAACCACATGGCAGCTGGCTAGGTAGCCACATGAGTTGATAAAAGTGGTCAACAACTAGGTAAATACAACAGCATTTTTACTAATATCTTTAGTTTTAGATGTATAATTGTGATATTATGTATTTGAATTAATTACATTGCTTCTAGTAAATAACATTTTGTAATTACCATAAATTTCCTAATGTGTCCTAAAGTCAATGTTCTTTTGCAAAGAAATGTTTTTGAGTAAAGTTTATTTGTATTTACAATCTAGAGTAATGGTATTTTTGCTTTATTTGCAGTCAATCATGAAATGACATGACATGAATAGAAATGAAGTGAAATGAAATGACATGACATGAATAGAAGTGAAATGAAATGAAATGAAATGAAATGACATGAAATGACATGACATGAATAGAAATGAAGTGAAATGAAATGACATGACATGAATAGAAGTGAAATGAAATGAAATGAAATGAAATGACATGAAATGACATGAAATGACATGAAATGAAATGACATGAAATGAGATGAAATGACATGAAATGAGATGAAATGACATGAATTGACATGAAATACTCATGCAACACTCATGAAACAGAATAAAGTAAACAGAAATCCAAAGATTGAATTGTTTTCACTTGAAAAGTATCAGTGCGACATTTGAAGTCCACATGCATTGACTAGTTGACCATTATGAATAGAGAGATAGATATAGAAGATCATGTGACAGATGAACCTGTAGATGACCTAGTAACTGTCAGTGAGACAGGTGAAGACTCACCGATTAGACGCGAGAGACCTAGGACTGAAAAGGGTAGATTATTTGAAATTGAATTGAAGTCAAAGAGATTAAAAACTTTGATTAAGAAGCTAAGGACTAAGTACACTCACATAGAGCAGTTAGTTACAGATGTTTGTGATAGTCGTGAGCTCGTAGAAGACCACAAAGCATGGCTAACTGTATATGAAGATTATCTTCAAACCTATACCTCCTTCTGTGACCTAGCTCATGATAGTTCATGCGAAAATATGTTTGAAGATGCATATGGTTTAATGAAGATGTACAAGGAGAAGATGGAAGGATGGATCACCTCAACTGTCTCCTCTAGACATAGTAACAGTCAGGTCTCACGGCATCACAGTATGTCTAGTGCAGCTGTGTCACGGTCATCTTCATTGTCATCTGCAAGACTGAAAGCTGAACAGAAGAAAGCAGAGTTGGATGCCAGGATGCACGCGTTTCAACAGAAGAAGAAACTTGAACTTGCCCAGGCCCAGCTGAAACTTGAGCAAGAGGAACTTGAATTAAAAACTGAAATGGATGTTGTGGATGCCAGATCAAGGGTGCTTGATGACTTTGAACATAGAAGCGATTCAAGAATGTCTCGCGGTGATGACAAGCATCATGGTGATCATGGTAATGTAAATACAGGGACCAAGTGTGTACAGAGAGACTCAATTCCAGACAGACAACCCTCTAATGACACTGGTAAATCTGATGATGTACAGACTGAGGTGAAATGTGTACAGACTGATAGTAACTTAGTCAGTTTGTATCCTAATGTCTCTCACATTGCTAGAGGCAATGACTTCAGACTTAGCGCATCATCAAATGAGTTTGTGCCTAAGTCTGTGCATAATGGCAATGTTTACTGTCATGATGATTGTGTTGGTTATGGCTATTGTTTGTTCAGGTCATATGGTGAACAACATGGTAACACAGGTGTTAGTGTTGATAATCAACACGTATCTCTTCCTTCCAGAATACCTGTTAGCACTCCATATGATTGTAGACCATCTATGACAGCAGACATTTCTACCGGAAGAGATCTCATAACTGATGTGGTGCGTCATTTGAGGAAGCCATTGTTTGATATGAAAAAGTTTGATGGTAATCCGATAGAGTACTGTAAGTTCATTCGTCAATTCAGGTCTACAATTGAACAGAATACAGAAGATGATGATGAGAGACTTAATTATCTCCTTCAGTTCACAGAGAAGAAACCACATGAGATTGTCAATGGTTTTTCTTATCTGGATGCAAAGGTTGGTTATCCTGCAGCACTCAAGGAGCTCCATCAACGCTATGGGCAAGATGATGTTCTTGCTGAAGCCTTTGTGAAGAAAGCATTGGATTGGCCAGCGATCAAGCAAGACAACCCAACTGCCCTTGATGAATTTTCCATATTCCTGAGTGAATGCGACTATGCCCTAACAAGCTTAGAAGCTGTAAAAGTACTTCAGTATGCTGAAAACATGAAGAGGTTAGTAAGTAAGCTGCCCTACAATTATCATGATAAATGGCGAAATCGTGTTTTGCATATAAAGGAAGCATCTGGAACTGTGCAGTTTAGTGACTTCATGTATTTTGTGAAGATGGAGGCCAAGAAAGCATGTGATCCAACCTATGGAAAAGATGCCCTCAAGACACTTGACCAGAAAGCAACAGTTGGAAAGAAACTTACCTTGAAACAGAGGCAATCTTCTCCTAAAGTAAGCTTTGCAAGTAGCCTCTCAGAGTCAAATAAGTCCAGTGAAACCATGTCAAAGGCTGATAAGTCTTCAACTTCTCAGGCAAGTTGCTTGTATTGCGTACACTACAATACATCTCATACACTAGATGCATGTAATTCTTTCTCAAAGATGAACTATTTTGATAAAGTTGACTTCTTGAGAAAGAAGGGGCTATGTTTTGCTTGCCTTAAGCGTGGACATATGAGTAGAGATTGTCGATCAAGACTAACATGCTCAATTTGCAGTTTGCATCATCCCACAGTTCTTCATGATGATAATTGGAGAAGAAAAGCTGAATCGGATCCTAACCAGACCTCAGTGAAAGGAAGAACTACAAGTGCCTACAGCAGTGTTGCCAGCAGACTTGATCAGCTTACAGAGGCCGGTGAGGGTGACTGTACAATGGCAGTAATACCAGTGAGGGTGAAGCTGAGAGATGGGATCAACTCCATATGTACATACGCTTTCCTTGATCCTGGAAGTAATGCAAGCTTTTGTACAAACAGTCTGATGCAGAAACTGGGTGCAATGGGACGTCCCATGAATATCACTTTGGACACTATGGGTGAGACACAAACTTTTGAGACACATGCCGTGAACAATCTTCAGATCTGTGACTTGAATATGGAAAACACAATAGATCTACCTCGTATCTACACCAAAGAGAAGATGCCTATTTCCAAGGATCACATTCCTACATCCAAGGATATTGATCACTGGCCACATTTAGATGATGTCACTCTGCCTGAAATAGATTCTGAAATAGAAATGCTGATTGGAAACAACATTCCAGACGTATATACACCTCGACAAATAAGAACAGGTCCTAGAGGGTCGCCTCATGCTACGAAGAGCCTGTTAGGGTGGATTGTCTGGAATGTGATTAGAAGAGACAGCACGACTACTTCAGGAAGTAATGCTATCTCCATAAACAGAGCAGAAGTCAAGGCCATCACAGAAAAGGAAAGGCTGCATCAGTTGGATACCATGGTAAGACATTCCATAGATCTTGAATTTCCTGAAAGACAAACTGATGACAGGAAAGAAGATTCCCTGGAAGATAAACGTTTCAAGGATAAAGCTAAATCTTCAATTGAGATGAAAGAAGGTCATTACTATATGAACTTACCTTTCAAGAAAGAAGAGACTCACTTGCCCAACAACCAATCACAAGCGATTCAGCGACTCAACTACCTTAAAAGGAAAATGAAGAAGGATCCAAAATTCAGAGAAGACTATATAGCCTTCATGAAACAACTGTTTGAAAAAGAGTATGCTGAAAAGGTAACTGAACAGGACTTACCTGGTATCCTTGGACGCATATGGTATCTTCCTCACCATGGGGTTTACCATCCACGGAAACCCAACAAACTGAGAGTAGTTTTTGATTGCTCTGCCTCATACCTTGGAACTTCCCTGAACAATGCACTTCTACAGGGGCCGGACATGACGAATAATCTCCTTGCTGTCTTACTTCGCTTCCGACAGGAGAAGATAGCTGTGATGGGCGACGTCGAAGCCATGTATCATCAGGTACGTGTTCATGCAGAGGACTGCGATTATCTCAGATTCCTATGGTGGCCTGGTGGTGACATAAATTTGGAACCAAAAACTTACCGGATGAAAGTCCATTTATTCGGGTCAGTGTCGTCGGCAACCTGCGCCAACTATGCACTTCAACAAACAGCAACCGACAACACTGAAAAGTTTGACCCAGAAGTAAGTCATGGTGTGAAAAACAATTTCTATGTTGATGACTATCTTGCATCCAAAGATTCAGAAGATCATGCCATAACGCTTATTCATGAAACAAGTGCAATGTGCAAAATGGGAGGCTTTAACCTAACCAAGTGGGTGAGTAACAGCCCTGCAGTCCTGGAGTCTATTCCTATTGAGGATCGGTCCAAGGAAATGAAGTTGATTGACCTGAAACAAGATATACTTCCAAAAGAGAGAGCCTTAGGGGTTTACTGGGATACTGAATCGGACACTTTTGGATTCAAGATGGGTGAAAGAGGTGTATCATGCACTCGAAGAGGAATTCTCTCATTGTCAAGCTCAGTTTATGATCCGTTCGGTCTGACTGCACCTTATGTTCTCATTCCGAAGTGTATCCTACAGGAACTCTGCAAAAATGGAGCAAGCTGGGATGAAGAAATCAGTGGAAAACTACTTGACCGATGGAATGAATGGATATCGCAATTGTATCTTCTTGACAGCTTGAAGATGGACAGATGCTACAAGGTAAAGTGGTTAAAAGCAGTATCGTCATGTGAGCTACACCACTTTGCAGACGCCAGCGAAACTGGTTATGGCATGGTTACTTACATGCGACTGATTGATGAGGATGGAAACATTCATTGTTCTTTCGTCATTGGCAAGGCACGTGTAGCTCCCCTGAAAAGAATCACTATACCTCGAATGGAGTTGACGGCTGCAACTGCTCTCGTTAGAATGAATGCCATGTTGGTCCGTGAACTAGACTACACTGTAGGTAACAGCTACTATTGGACAGACAGTATGTCTGTATTGAGGTACATTGCAAACCAAACCAGCCGCTTCCATACCTTCGTAGCCAACAGACTGTCTGTGATCCATGAATCATCGAAGATTGAGCAGTGGAGATACATCAACACTCAACTGAATCCAGCAGACTACGCTTCCAGAGGAATGAGTATGAAGAAATTACTGGAGACACCTCAGTGGATTAATGGTCCAGATTTCCTATCGAAGACGGTAGATAAGTGGCCTTGTAATGCTGACTTTCTTAGTGCGGACTTGAATGGAGACCCTGAAGTAAAACGTGTGAATGTTGCTGTATGCGAAGTCGATACTTACACTGCCATGGATAGACTGATCGATCACTTTTCTGACTGGACAAAACTGAGAAAAGCAGCGGCATGGTTGATGTTAGCTGTAACGACATTCCAGGAGTATGTAAAGAAGAGACATTGTGAAAACACAAAACAAGAAGAAATTAAAACAGAAGTACGTACACGTGGAAGAAAAAGGAAACAAATGGACAGAACTTCTCAGGCTGAACAACAGTATCCAAGTCTCTCTGTGAAAGGTGTTAATGATGCTGAGATGGCACTGATTAGATATGTTCAGAAAAAGCATTTTGCACCTGAAATTGAAAGTTTGAAAAGGAAATCAGTTGAAGCTAGAATCGCACGGTCATCAAAGCTTTTCAAACTGGACCCCTTCTTTAAAGATGGTGTACTTCGCATAGGAGGAAGGTTGGATAGATCCCCAATTGCATACGAGGCAAGGCATCAAATCATACTCCCCAAGGAGTCCGCAGTATCATTGTTGATTCTAAGAAAAGCTCATGAACAAGTGGGACACTTAGGAAAGAATGCAATACTCTCCCATGTCAGACAAACTTACTGGATCATCGGTGCAAATTCTCTGATTAAAAAGATGATCTCCAAATGTGTCGTCTGCAGGAAACATCAAGGAAAGCCTACAACTCAGAAAATGGCAAGCTTACCTTTAGAGAGAGTGACTGGTAACGAAGCTCCTTTCTCCAAAGTTGGTGTTGACTATTTTGGTCCTTTTGAAATCAAAGAAGGACGACGACATGTGAAGCGATGGGGCGTGCTATTCACATGTATGACCGTACGAGCAGTTCATCTTGAGGTCGCAGCGAGTCTAGACACAGATTCCTGTATTTCTGCTATTAGGAGGTTCATTGCCCGAAGAGGACCTGTGACTTACATTAGATCTGACAATGGAACCAACTTTGTTGGAGCAGAAAGAGAGCTGCGAGAAGAAATGTCGAAGCTTGACTCGCAAAAAATGAAGAATTCACTCCTAAATCGTGGAATCACCTGGGATTTCAACCCACCTGCTGCGTCAAATTTTGGTGGTATGTGGGAAAGGATTATCCGATTGATCAGGAAAGTAATGTATTCATTACTACACACACAGATTATTCACCTGGATGACGAAGGCCTGCATACTCTATTCTGCGAAATCGAAGCAATCTTGAATGGGCGACCTATATCTGAAATGAACAACAGTCCAAATGACCTTGACGCTCTCACACCCAATCACCTGATCCTATTTCGGGGAGGTGAGAACTGTCCGTCAGGTGTTTTTACCAAGGAAGACAACTTCTGCAAACGAAGATGGAGACAACTGCAATACTTAGCAGATCTTTTTTGGAAAAGATGGGTAAAGGAATATCTACCTTTACTTCAACAAAAGCAGAAATGGAATATCCAGAAAAGAAACATTGCCGTTGATGACCTTGTACTTGTGATGGATAGTAATCCACGAAATACATGGAGTCTGGCCAGGGTTCTTGAAGTTGTGAAAGACAAAAAGGGACTTGTGAGAATTGTGAAATTGAAAACAAAGTCTAACACTCTCAACCGTCCAGTAAATAAATTGTGCCTTGTGTTGGAAAGCAGCCCTGAATGTTAATATGACAAAGTGAACAATGCTGAAATGAAGTCATGTTGTTTTGTACATGAGTTTTCTTAGCAGTATATTTTGTTTGAGTTTGACCATATTTTGTTAGATTTTGAGTCATTGGTTTTCTTTCGTCTTCCAATGAAGAGGCCGGTGTGTAATGGTCATACACTTAAAAGATGTTTTCATTTTATGATGCTTCAGTTGGGTATCAAGGTAGACCATTTTCATTTTCTTAAGCCCAATAGGGTGCGCTGTACACTAGTCTATTTATAGATGCATTTAATCAAGGCATGTAAGGCATGCACAGAACCACATGGCAGCTGGCTAGGTAGCCACATGAGTTGATAAAAGTGGTCAACAACTAGGTAAATACAACAGCATTTTTACTAATATCTTTAGTTTTAGATGTATAATTGTGATATTATGTATTTGAATTAATTACATTGCTTCTAGTAAATAACATTTTGTAATTACCATAAATTTCCTAATGTGTCCTAAAGTCAATGTTCTTTTGCAAAGAAATGTTTTTGAGTAAAGTTTATTTGTATTTACAATCTAGAGTAATGGTATTTTTGCTTTATTTGCAGTCAATCATGAAATGACATGACATGAATAGAAATGAAGTGAAATGAAATGACATGACATGAATAGAAGTGAAATGAAATGAAATGAAATGAAATGACATGAAATGACATGACATGAATAGAAATGAAGTGAAATGAAATGACATGACATGAATAGAAGTGAAATGAAATGAAATGAAATGAAATGACATGAAATGACATGAAATGACATGAAATGAAATGACATGAAATGAGATGAAATGACATGAAATGAGATGAAATGACATGAATTGACATGAAATACTCATGCAACACTCATGAAACAGAATAAAGTAAACAGAAATCCAAAGATTGAATTGTTTTCACTTGAAAAGTATCAGTGCGACATTTGAAGTCCACAACGTCCCTCGGTTTTATAAACACGTGGACCGCACAGTTTAAAGTGTCAGAAATGTGTAGAATGTGTGCATACATCCATTAAACATCAATTAAACATTGCTCCAGTAAATATATATTGGATTATGTACTTCTCATTTATGTGATATGTGACTCGGTACATTCACGACCGATGTACCGACTTCAGAGCATGCATGCACACATCAGCGTTCGTAAAGGGCAGAACATTTGATATTCGGGAAGAGTGAGGAGGAGATCGGTGCCTCAGCGCTTTTCGCCGATGCGTAATTTTTAATCTACCTCCTCGATTTCCTTGCACAAATATTCCTTCTGGGTGGTGATATTGTTTGTATGCTCACCTGGCTGCCAGCTGCTACATATAGTGGGGCGGTTAAGGATAAAATTGTGCACTTTGGGTTAAAAGCACCAAACTTGGCACTCCTATACATTGAACCATTCCGAACATTTGTTGATATGGATCCACCTCAGCAGAGCCCCCTGGTCGTAGAAAATCCAGGATGGCCGCCAACATGGCTGAAATATCTAATGATATCAATATATACTCAATATATCATACTTATCTGATCCATTTATACATATATCCATAGTTATGCACGCTGAATGAATTGCAGCAGGGCTGTATATAATTCAAATATAGTTTGCAGCGCCCCCTGGTGGTAGAAAATCCAAGATGGCCACCAGCATGGCTGAAATCTCTAATGATATCAAACTATACTCAATATATCATAGTTATCTGGCCAATTTATACAAATTATCATTGTAATGTATTTAGGAGTAATCATAACAATCCTGTATATAATTCAAACCTAGTATGCAGCACCCCCTGGTGGTGATGAAAGTCCAAGATGGCCGCCGATTTGATTGAAATGATTGCAATGAACAAATGATACTGATATAGTGGACAAACATTTGACATTTTGGCAGCCATCTTGGATTTTCTTCGCCACCAGTGGGCGCTGCATATTAGATTTGAAGTATATACAACATTGTTGCAATTAAGTTTACATAAATGACTAAAATTGACAAAATAATTATGATATATTGAATATAAAGTGACATCAAAAGAGATTTTAACCATTTTGGAGGCCATCTTGGATTTTCTACCATCAGGTGGCGTTGCTGAGGTTGATCCATATCCAGAAATGTTTAGAATGGTTCAATGTATAAATGTGCCAAGTTTTGTGCTTTTAACCCTAAGTGCACAATTGTGACTAAAATCAAGCCTTAATCGCCCCACTAATACGTGGACAGCAGGAGGTAAGGGTGCTGGATGCCACTGTACTCTCCTGTTGGTAGACATGAACGTCTGGCGCAGACAATGGAGCGTCTCTCTATCCGAGACCCACTAGACGAGCTGGTGAGACGGGAGTCACGACGCAGCTCCATGGGCTACATGAACGACTCCCTCAACAGCTTGCCTAACACCAACGGCGACATCAGTAAAAGGTAGGCCCTGGTATACAGTAGCGAGGGTTGTGGACACACTTACAAGATGTAAACACATTGAGGGTCAGTGCGTGGACGCTGCATGTCCTTATAAGGCAGGAATCGGTGTCCAGCCCAGCTGGAAATCACTTATCTACAATCTCCTATCTTAAAAGTCTCGAACATGGTCATAATCAAAACGTCTTCCATTGTCGGGCCGTAAACAAACATCGTACACATGATGTTCCTTGCTGCCAGAATCACACATCTTCCTCTGGGGTACTCTTGGGGTCCAGGCAGTATCACACATCTTCCCCTGGGGTACTCTGGGGGTCAAGGTAGTATCACACATCTTCCCCTGGGGTACTCTGGGGGTCCAGGCAGTATCACACATCTTCCCCTAGGGTACTCTGGGGGTCCAGTCAGTATCACACATCTTCCCCTGGGGTACTCTGGGGGTCCAGGCAGTATCACACATCTTCCCCTAGGGTACTCTGGGGGTCAAGGCAGTATCACACATCTTCCCCTGGGGTACTCTGGGGGTCAAGGCAGTATCACACATCTTCGCCTGGGGTACTCTGGGGGTCCAGGCAGTATCACACATCTTCCCCTGGGGTACTCTGGGGGTCTAGCCAGTATCACACATCTACCCCTGGGGTACTCTGGCGGTCTAGGCAGTATCACACATCTTCCCCTGGGGTACTCTGGGGGTTTACCCAGTATCACACATCTACCCCTGGGGTACTCTGGCGGTCTAGGCAGTATCACACATCTTCCCCTAGGGTACTCTGGGGGTCCAGGCAGTATCACACATCTTCCCCTAGGGTACTCTAGGGGTCAAGGCAGTATCACACATCTTCCCCTAGGGTACTCTGGGGGTCCAGGCAGTATCACACATCTTCCCCTAGGGTACTCTGGGGGTCCAGTCAGTATCACACATCTTCCCCTGGGGTATTCTTGGGATCTAGCCAGTATCACACATCTTCCCCTGGGGTACTCTGGGGGTCGAGGCAGTATCACACATGTTCCCCTGGGGTACTCTGGCGGTCTAGGCAGTATGTTACCATTCTTGTCGAAGGAGCTGACTGTGTGAGGAGGGGGTGGTTACAATGTGTCACCTGTCTGACTGTGTGAGGAGAGGGTGGTTACAATGTGTCACCTGTCTGACTGTGTGAGGAGGGGGTGGTTACAATGTGTCACCTGTCTGACTGTGTGAGGATGGGATGGTTACAATGTGTCACCTGTCTGACTGTGTGAGGAGAGGGTGGTTACAATGTGTCACCTGTCTGACTGTGTGAGGAGAGGATGGTTACAATGTGTCCCCTGTCTGACTGTGTGAGGAGAGGGTGGTTACAATGTGTCACCTGTCTGACTGTGTGAGGAGGGGGTGGTTACAATGTGTCACCTGTCTGACTGTGTGAGGATGGGATGGTTACAATGTGTCACCTGTCTGACTGTGTGAGGAGAGGGTGGTTACAATGTGTCACCTGTCTGACTGTGTGAGGATGGGATGGTTACAATGTGTCCCCTGTCTGACTGTGTGAGGACAGGGTGGTTACAATGTGTCACCTGTCTAACTGTGTGAGGATGGGATGGTTACAATGTGTCACCTGTCTGACTGTGTGAGGAGAGGGTGGTTACAATGTGTCCCCTGTCTGACTGTGTGAGGAGGGGGTGGTTACAATGTGTCACCTGTCTGACTGTGTGAGGAGAGGATGGTTACAATGTGTCACCTGTCTGACTGTGTGAGGAGGGGGTGGTTACAATGTGTCACCTGTCTGACTGTGTGAGGATGAGATGGTTACAATGTGTCACCTGTCTGACTGTGTGAGGATGGGATGGTTACAATGTGTCACCTGTCTGACTGTGTGAGGAGAGGATGGTTACAATGTGTCACCTGTCTGACTGTGTGAGTAGAGGGTGGTTACAATGTGTCACCTGTCTGACTGTGTGAGGAGGGGATGGTTACAATGTGTCACCTGTCTGACTGTGTGAGGAGAGGGTGGTTACAATGTGTCACCTGTCTGACTGTGTGAGGAGGGGATGGTTACAATGTGTCACCTGTCTGACTGTGTGAGGAGAGGGTGGTTACAATGTGTCACCTGTCTGACTGTGTGAGGAGGGGGTGGTTACAATGTGTCACCTGTCTGACTGTGTGAGGAGGGGATGGTTACAATGTGTCACCTGTCTGACTGTGTGAGGAGGGGGTGGTTACAATGTGTCACCTGTCTGACTGTGTGAGGATGGGATGGTTACAATGTGTCACCTGTCAGACTGTGTGAGGAGGGGATGGTTACAATGTGTCACCTGTCTGACTGTGTGAGGAGGGGATGGTTACAATGTACCACCTGTCTGACTGTGTGAGGAGGGCATGGTTACAATGTGTCACCTGTCTCACTGTGTGAGGAGGGGGTGGTTACAATGTGTCACCTGTCTGACTGTGTGAGGAGGGGATGGTTACAATGTGTCACCTGTCTGACTGTGTGAGGAGAGGATGGTTACAATGTGCCACCTGTCTGACTGTGTGAGGAGGGGGTGGTTACAATGTGTCACCTGTCTGACTGTGTGAGGAGGGGGTGGTTACAATGTGTCACCTGTCTGACTGTGTGAGGAGAGGATGGTTACAATGTGTCACCTGTCTGACTGTGTGAGGACTGGATGGTTACAATGTGTCACCTGTCTGACTGTGTGAGGAGAGGATGGTTACAATGTGTCACCTGTCTGACTGTGTGAGGAGAGGATGGTTACAATGTGTCACCTGTCTGACTGTGTGAGGACTGGATGGTTACAATGTGTCACCTGTCTGACTGTGTGAGGATGGGATGGTTACAATGTGTCACCTGTCTGACTGTGTGAGGAGGGGATGGTTACAATGTACCACCTGTCTGACTGTGTGAGGAGGGCATGGTTACAATGTGTCACCTGTCTGACTGTGTGAGGAGGGGGTGGTTACAATGTGTCACCTGTCTGACTGTGTGAGGAGGGGGTGGTTACAATGTGTCACCTGTCTGACTGTGTGAGGAGGGGGTGGTTACAATGTGCCACCTGTCTGACTGTGTGAGGAGGGGGTGGTTACAATGTGTCACCTGTCTGACTGTGTGAGGATGGGATGGTTACAATGTGTCACCTGTCTGACTGTGTGAGGAGGGGATGGTTACAATGTGTCACCTGTCTGACTGTGTGAGGAGAGGATGGTTACAATGTGTCACCTGTCTGACTGTGTGAGGAGAGGATGGTTACAATGTGTCACCTGTCTGACTGTGTGAGGAGAGGATGGTTACAATGTGTCACCTGTCTGACTGTGTGAGAAGGGGATGGTTACAATGTGTCACCTGTCTGACTGTGTGAGGAGGGGATGGTTACAATGTACCACCTGTCTGACTGTGTGAGGAGGGGATGGTTACAATGTGTCCCCTGTCTGACTGTGTGAGGAGGGGATGGTTACAATGTGTCACCTGTCTGACTGTGTGAGGAGGGGATGGTTACAGTGTGTCACCTGTCTGACTGTGTGAGAACAAGGTGGCTACAATGTGTCACCTGTCTGACTGTGTGAGGACTGGATGGTTACAATGTGTCACCTGTCTGACTGTGTGAGGAGGGGATGGTTACAATGTACCACCTGTCTGACTGTGTGAGGAGGGGATGGTTACAATGTGTCACCTGTCTGACTGTGTGAGGATGGGATGGTTACAATGTGCCACCTGTCTGACTGTGTGAGGATGGGATGGTTACAATGTGTCACCTGTCTGACTGTGTGAGGAGGGGGTGGTTACAATGTGTCACCGGTCTGACTGTGTGAGGATGAGATGGTTACAATGTGTCACCTGTCTGACTGTGTGAGGATGGGATGGTTACAATGTGTCACCTGTCTGACTGTGTGAGGAGAGGATGGTTACAATGTGTCACCTGTCTGACTGTGTGAGTAGAGGGTGGTTACAATGTGTCACCTGTCTGACTGTGTGAGGAGGGGATGGTTACAATGTGTCACCTGTCTGACTGTGTGAGGAGAGGGTGGTTACAATGTGTCACCTGTCTGACTGTGTGAGGAGGGGATGGTTACAATGTGTCACCTGTCTGACTGTGTGAGGAGAGGGTGGTTACAATGTGTCACCTGTCTGACTGTGTGAGGAGGGGGTGGTTACAATGTGTCACCTGTCTGACTGTGTGAGGAGGGGATGGTTACAATGTGTCACCTGTCTGACTGTGTGAGGAGGGGGTGGTTACAATGTGTCACCTGTCTGACTGTGTGAGGATGGGATGGTTACAATGTGTCACCTGTCAGACTGTGTGAGGAGGGGATGGTTACAATGTGTCACCTGTCTGACTGTGTGAGGAGGGGATGGTTACAATGTACCACCTGTCTGACTGTGTGAGGAGGGCATGGTTACAATGTGTCACCTGTCTCACTGTGTGAGGAGGGGGTGGTTACAATGTGTCACCTGTCTGACTGTGTGAGGAGGGGATGGTTACAATGTGTCACCTGTCTGACTGTGTGAGGAGAGGATGGTTACAATGTGCCACCTGTCTGACTGTGTGAGGAGGGGGTGGTTACAATGTGTCACCTGTCTGACTGTGTGAGGAGGGGGTGGTTACAATGTGTCACCTGTCTGACTGTGTGAGGAGAGGATGGTTACAATGTGTCACCTGTCTGACTGTGTGAGGACTGGATGGTTACAATGTGTCACCTGTCTGACTGTGTGAGGAGAGGATGGTTACAATGTGTCACCTGTCTGACTGTGTGAGGAGAGGATGGTTACAATGTGTCACCTGTCTGACTGTGTGAGGACTGGATGGTTACAATGTGTCACCTGTCTGACTGTGTGAGGATGGGATGGTTACAATGTGTCACCTGTCTGACTGTGTGAGGAGGGGATGGTTACAATGTACCACCTGTCTGACTGTGTGAGGAGGGCATGGTTACAATGTGTCACCTGTCTGACTGTGTGAGGAGGGCATGGTTACAATGTGTCACCTGTCTGACTGTGTGAGGAGGGGGTGGTTACAATGTGTCACCTGTCTGA